AACCCGCCACCTTAGGTGTACATGGCTGGCGCCTTAGCTGGTTGAGCTATAGGCGTCGAGCCAAGTTGTGATTTTTAAATAGGATGGTTAAGATAGGCTCTATGAAGGTGACATCTGATTTGGGAGGTGAGGTTAGCTATATAGACCCCAGGCAAAGGGAAGAACCATTGTGAAGACCTTTAGGCAGGAACGTGTCTCTTGAGACAGAGGACAACAGAGAAATCATTTGATGCTAGAACAAGTGAGAGGAGAGAGTCTTACAAGGAGTGGTCAGAGGGGAAGTGAGGGACCAGTTCATGTGCAGCGTGTTTTGTTTTGTTTTGTTTTGAGACTGAGTCTCACTTTGTCTCCCTCAGTGACACCACAGCACAGCTCACAGCAATCTCATACTCTTGGATTTAAGCGATTCTCTTGCCTCACCCTCCTGAGTACCTGGAATTATAGGCGTCCACTACAACACCTGGCTGTTTTTAGAGATGAGGTCTCTCTGTGGCTCAGGCTGGTCTTGTGAGTTTAGGCAATCCACCCACCTGGGCCTCCCAGAGTGGTAGGATTACAGGTGTGAACCACCATGCCTGGCCCATGTGGGGCCTTTAAAGACCTTTGTGAGGCTTTGGTTCTTTCCTCTGAGGGGCAGAGGGAGCCATTACAGGGTTTTGGTGAAAGGTTACTTGATTTGACTGTTTTAAAAGGATGGGACTCTTTTTTGTTTGTTTGTTTGTTTGTTTAAGACAGAGTCTCACTGTTGCCCCAGGCTAGAGTGCCATGGCGTTAGCCTAGCTCACAGCAACCTCAAACTCCTGGGTTCAGGTGATCCTGCTATCTCAGCCTCCTGAATAGATGAGACTGTAGGTACACACTAGGGTGCCTGGCTAATTGTTTTTCTTTCTTTCTTTCTTTCTTTTTTTTTAAGACAGAGTCTCCAGTTGCCGCCTTGGGTAGAAAATTGCTTACACCCAAGAGTTTGAGGTTGCTGTGGGCATCACTGCTCACAGCAACCTTAAACTCTTCAGCATAAGGGATTCTCTTGCCTCACCTTCCCAAGTAGCTGGGACTACAGGCACCCACCACAACACCTAGCTATTTTTTTGTTGCAGTTATCATTATTTCTTTAGCTGACCCAGGCCAGGTTTGAACCCGCCAGCTGCAGTGTGTGTGGCCGGCATCCTACCTACTGAGCTACAGATTTTTTTTTTCTATATTTATTAGAAATGGGGGTCTTGCTCTTACTCAGGCTAGTCTCGAACTCTTGAACTCAAGGGATCCTCCTGCCTTGGCCTCTCTTATAGGAGTGAGCCACCATACCCAGAAGAACAATGCCTTTTGTTTGGACAACAGATTTTAAGGGCTGGGATAGAAGCAGGGTGATCAGTACAGAAGCCTTTGTAGGTAGCTAGGCAAGAGGTGGTAGTAGCTGGGGTCAAGGTAGTAATAATAAACATGGTGAGTAGTAATTTGATTAAGGTGGATCCAGCAGAATCCATTACCTGATGAACTGAATGTATAGTGTAAGATTAAAAGAGGAATTTATGATAACTTCAGGTTTTATTTATGTATTTGTTTATTTTTTGAGATGAGGTCTTACCCAGGCTGGTTTCAAACTCCTAAGCTAAAGTGATCTCCCTGCCTCAGCCTCCCAAATAGCTGACATTATAGGCTTGTGCCACCACAGGTGGCTAATATAAAAAAAAAAAAAATTAAGTTTAGGGATTTAGAGATGGAGTCTCACTATGTTGCTCAGGCTTGTCATTAACTCCTAGCCTCAAGCAGTCCTTTTACCTCAGTCTTCAAAAGTGCTAGGATTACAGGTATGGAGCCACCATGCCAGAATGTTAGATGTTTAAGTAGAGATGTTGAATAGGCAGATGGATTTATGGAGTTTAGCAGACAGTTTAGGGCCACAGATAAAAAAGTATGGGCAGAATGAAACTTTGAAGCTGGGTAATGAAGTACTTATAAAGAACAGGATCATGGGCCAGGTGCAAGGTGCAGTACCTCATGCCTGTAATCCTAACACTCTGTAAGGCCAGAGTGGAGGATTACTTGAGGCCAGCAATTCAAGACCAGCTTGAACAAGAGTAAGACCACTGTTTTACTAAAAATAGAAAAATTAGCTGGGCATAGTAATAATGCTTCTAGTCGTAGCTACTCAGGAGGCCGAGGTAGGAGGATCACTTCAGCTCAAGATCAAGACCACCCTAAGCAAGAGTGACCACCCCATCTCTACTAAAAATAGAAAGATCAGCTGAGCACACTGGTATATACCTATAGTCCCAGCTACTCAGGAGACTGAGGCAGGAGGATCACTTGAGCCCAGAAGTTTCAGGTTGCAGTTAAGTATGATAACAACAACTGCACTCCAGCCAGGGTGACAGAGTAAGACTGCCCCCCCCCCCAAAAAAAGATTATCATTCATTGGTTTCTTCTTTTTTCTTTTGATTTTTGTTAATTTGAAGACAGGGTTGTGTACTCTCACTGTTAGCCAGATAGAGTAGTTCAGTAGTGTTATCATAGCTCACTGCAACCTCACACTCCTGGCCTCAAGCAATCCTCCTACCTCGGCCTCCTTAGTAGCTGGGACTACAGGTGTATACCACTGTAGCTGGGACAACAGGCACACACCACCATGCCTTGCTAAGTTTTCTATTTTTTGTAGAGATGGGGTCTCAACTCATTGAGGCTGGTCTTGAACTCCTGGGCTTAAGCGATTCTCCTGCCTCCACCTTCCAAGTATTTGGGACTACAGGCTCCTACCACAGTGCCCGGCTATGTTTTGGTCGCAGCCGTCATTGTTGTTTGGCGGGCCCAGGATAGATTCGATCCCACCAGCTCAGGTGCTGTGGCTGGTGCCTTTAGCCACTTGAGCCACAGGTGCTGAGCCCCATTTGGTTCCTTTTAATACCTTCTGTTTCTTTGCTGAGATTTACTGCTTTTGTAAAGTCATTGCAAAAATGTTTTCCTTCAGTTGCAATAGCTGCTATAAGATCTTTATCTGCTAGGCCATGACTCATGCCTGTAATCCTAGCACTTTGGGAGTCCAAGGTGGGTGGATTGCCTGAGCTTACAAGTTCGAGACCAGCCTGAGCAAAAGCAAGACCCCATCTCTAAAACTAGCCAGGCATTGTGGTGGACGCATGTACTCCCAGCTACTTGGGAGGCTGAAGCAAGAAAATCCCTTGAACTCAAGAGTTTGAGGTTGCTGTGAGCTATGACACCGCCACACTCTACTGAGGGCGACAAAGTAAGACTCTGTCGCAAAAAATAAATAAGAAAGATCCTTGTCTGCTAATTCCCAACATCTGGATTGTCCTAGGGTTGATCCCATTCATTGTGTCTTCTCTTGACAGTGGGTTTCCTATTTCCTTCCATGTCTATGAATTTGAGACCATATATTGAACAATTGATGGCATTACACGAGTTTTGGATTATGTTATATTTCCCCAAATAATGACTTTTTTGTTTTATCAGGCAGTTAACTTAGCTGGACTAAAGACTTAAGTTTTTATACTTTGTCTGCAGTTTAAGAGTTTCTGTTTTTTGTTTTTTTTTTTTGAGATAGAGCCT